TCTTGTGATGGTTCTTGAATGGACTTTGAAGATGGAAACCAGAATATAAATATTGGTACCATTACTGAAGACCTGAATGATTTTTTCCTCTCACCATTGCTCATTTGGGAAGACAGTGAGGCTGACACAAAATGATTTTAATCTGTTCTCTTTACCTGAATAACTCAAAAAGTTTTTTCAATGATTCTTACGAAAAATGATGCCAAAATGGCTAAACATCTTATCTGAAAACCTAGAGAAAAAAAAAGAAACAATTAGTTTAGTATTTTTTTTTTTTTTTTTTTTAGATATTAAACATTTTGTGGGATGGACAATTATGCTGTTACATCGTGTGTGTATATATATATATATATATATATATAGTCATTATCATGGTTACTACAACTATTATCATAATTACAATTGTTTTTATTGTCATTTTTTTTTTGTCCTTATATTATCGTTGCCATAATCATTAAGGCTAACTTTACTGTTTATCATAACAATAAGACATCAATAATTATTATTAATATATCAATCAGTTATTATTACCATTAACATAATCACAATCGTCAAGAATACATCAGAAGTTAGCGTTGCTAAAAATACAAACATCATCACTATCATGTTCATAGACAGAACCCAATTTAACCAATGTAGTGGTAGTAGACCCAGACCAGTGATTATAGGGATGCATCTACATGTGTGTGTGTATGAGCAAGGAAATGTAAGCTTATCTGATGGCACAAACAGCCAAACTGAAAAACATCACAACCAACCCCACCTGTTCCTTGTTAAAAGAACATTACTACATATATAACAATACAGTCTTGACACTGAAACAGAATGACAACTGCATATATTTTCATATCAAATGCATAGATGTGTATCTGCACCTAACCACAGATTATTTATATGGGTGTGTTTGTATTGTTACGCCCGGGGTTTTGTTGGGACTACGATAGCCGGGACGCAACGAGAAAATAAAAAAAAAATTAAGTAAGAGATCCCAAGGTTCGATATAAAAATAAAGAAAAGAATGTTGGGAGGGGAATTCTCCAATTCCGGACGGCGGTAAACACAGAGAGAAAATGAACCATACGCAGACACAGAACAACAGAAGACGACACGAGAATATATAATACAAAGATTTTATTTATAGAATATACAAAGTGTGAAAGTAAGAGAAAAAAAAAGAAAACTAAATAATACAAGGGATGGGGAGTACAAGTTACCAATTAAACAGATACTAATGCGGCGAAATACATATGAATACATAGATATCAGATTATAAGATATGGAAAAACATGCAGAAACTTGCATAAGGTTGGAATCAACGTCGATTGACTATTATCGGGGTACAGTTTGATCAAAAGGATATTCATACACTTCTCTGAAAGTAAAGGATGGGATTGACAATTTTCTAATATGAGTTTTTGACTGGCGACGTCCAATCCAGGTTGATGGCGAGGAGAACACACAGAAAAATCACGAGAGTGTAGCCGACTTAGGTTGAGGATGTTGTTCTAGATTCTCTTGTTGGTTCTTTGGCTTTTGGTGGCATCTAATTCTTCTGGCATCAAACAACAAAGTCTGGTTTTAGTGACAACTGCTTCTTCTAATGGCAAACAGCTAAGACTGGTTTTGGTGACGTCCGATTCCTCCGATAGTCAGCAACTATGTGAGATCATTGTTACCTCAACACGTGCGAAACGAAAACTGCTATATATTGAGTCACGTGTTGGCCCCCCAAAAAAGTATGCGTCATTCACGGATCCTGTTAATGCCATTCGCACTTATTTATCAAGCAGCGTTCGTTTTGGCCTACAACTATGGACCTGGTTAATATCATTTGCACCTATCTGTCAAACAGTGTTTGTTTGGTCTACACATCAGAGACCAGGTAGGAAATAAGGGAAGTTTCTTTTGAGAACTGGCCCTGACTCATCTGGGTATAAAAAAAACATATATCCCACAATCTGCATATTCAAGAAATAAAGATGTTATTAAGATTCATATGTTTCGTCGCAAATACACAAGGTACTGAAAATATACTTATAAAATCTGAGGTGAGGGTACAAATATGGGGTTAACATAACAGTATGAACTAAAATGCATATGTGTGTATGTATGTGAAAGTGTCATCCCAAACACAGAAAAAGAAATTACCCCACTTCAACCAAACACAAATAAGCATAAATAGATTCAGTTTGTTTGATGATCACAAAAGCATGAAACCCAGAGTTACAAACTAATATCCATACAACTGAATATATATATATATATATTATTAGATTAAACCTGACAATTTGTTTGGCTTAAATGTTATTTTAGATGGATACACATATCTGAGTAAATGCTCCATTTATTTAATTAAACAATATTTTTATTTAATTACATCTACTGTTCTGTATATTTGAGAAATCTTGTCAGAAAATATGCATCCTCTGGCAGTATTTGAACTTGCATCCCCTATGAGGAACTGTCATTAGATCTAATGTGCTTAACCAATTCAGCCATGTAGAACTTACAGTTATAACCAAAGACCAAAATAGTGCTTTTGAACTCACATTCTTTGCTGATTCTCAAAACATCCATATCTTTTGTTTTCTACTATAACATAAACAGACATTTTTATTTTATAGAACAGATTAAATCTGACATTTTTATTTGTTTTGCTTAAACGTTATTTTAGATAGATACTCACATTTGAGATTTGAGTAAATACTGTTTATTTAATTAAACAGTATTTTTATTTAATTACGTTAACCAGCCTGAATATCTGAGAAATCTCAATTAAATAACAGAGCATTTACTCAAACATGAGTATCCATCTAAAATAATGTTTAAGTAAAACAAATTAAAATATATTTGACAAATAGATTTTTATTATTGAATATCTTTTTCTTTATTCTCAAAACACTTGACACACCCTGTATATAATACATAATTGATAAAAGAGTGATTTTTCTATTCAATATTTTGGTTTTTCTTTATATTTGTTCTCAATTACCTGACACATGTTGAGTATAAAGCTTCCTTCCAAAATCTTGCAAATTATTAAGAATCAGAAAAATTTCATTAGAAAAAAAGAAAAGAGTATAGCAGTAAATGCCACCTCACAGATGAAGAAACTTGAAGAAATGGAAATGTGGTTCTACAGAAGTATGCTGAGAATACATAGACTGAACATGTGAGTAATGATGAAGTGAAGATAGAAACATAAAGGAAACTTACTTATCAGAAACAGAGTTGAAATTTCTAGGGCACATAAGAAAAAGGGCTTGGAAAATTTGATACTCACAGGGCAGATTGAATGTGTAACCTACCTCATGAGCTTGAGTAAATGGATCGGGAAATAGCGTTTAAGAGAGACAACAAAAAGACAAAATTTATTAAGAGCTACAAAGGATGGGAATTTGTAGAAAGACATGATCGCCAACATTCGGAAGAGACATGGCATATTGAAGAAAAAGAAGCATTTTTGAAGCTATTGAACTTGTGAGAAGAATAATGGCTTGCAATGTTAGCTTATTAATCGTGGCAAGGTACTTAATACATTAGTATCTATATATCTCCCTTCATAGTGCATATCAATACATCTAAACTTGGTATTTACCATGTGTGTGTGTGTGTGGGGGGGGTAATCACTTCACCCCAACAAGGCAATAATGCTACTAAGATGCAAGGGGTTAATGGGGGTGAAAGAAAATTTGAAGACTTTAGAGAAAACCAGAAACCCAATCCTAAACATGAAACAAACCTCGACACATGTTTCTTTAAAGAAAAAAAAAAAAAGAAAAAGAAAAAAAAAGAAAAAGAAAAAAAAAAAAAAAAAAAGAAAAAGAAAAAAAAAAGAAAAGGAAAAAAAAGAAAAAAAAAAGAAAAGGAAAAAAAAGAAAAAAAAAAGAAGTTGTGTAAATGCATTTGGTAAAAAACAAAATAGTCCAAAAGCTACTCTTTTGGTACTGTGTAGAATAGTCATGCTGGTGGAAAGTTTGGAAATGCAGCGACACATAATGAGAAAAGAGGGCTTGGAGAATCTGACACTCATAGGACATATTGAAAGCAAGAGGGGCAGAGGAAAACAGTACATAAACTACCAACTGAGTTTGTTTAAATCAATGACAGAGTAGGGATTGGGAGGGATAGTAAAGTGGCAAATATTACTTAGATCTATAAAGGATATGAAGTTGTGGAGAGCCATGATCACCCACATACTGAAAGTTAAACAGCATATAGAATAAGTACCGATGCAAATACAAGTGAGAATGAATGTTTTCTGATACAACATGACTACTGGAACAAAATTCTCTTGGGGGTAGAGAGAGAGAGAGAGAGTATTAATTAAAAAACAGATACCAAATAAACACCATGCCTAGAGGAAAACTGGAAGAACTAATTATACCAACATTTGTGAACTCTTTTCATTTATAACCTTGTGAAACATGATTTTTCTTTATGACCGAACAATAAAGCATGCCAGATCAAATGGTAGTTTCCCCCCACAAAGGGGTATCCGGTTCAATCCCCACTGGAAAATACATTTTTCTTGACTAAGATTTCTCCAGTATGCAGACTGATAGATGTAATACAGTCAATTAAGTACCATACATGATACATGGTTGGGCGATCATATTTCTTTCGATTCCTGATTGACCAGGTAGAGATTTGTAGTGAACGAGATAATCAGGTACCCCGGAAAAAAGTTCGTGTTTTGTGTGCGATCTGCGTCGGAGGATTGCCAAAAAAGTAGTCAGCAAAACTCTTATAGCGATTTCTTACCTCACAACCCAAGCGACAGCGTATCGCGGTATTCTGGGACGAAAAAGAAACAAGTCCGTCGCAGGAGTCGCTATAAGAGGATATTAATATGCAAATTACGGAGCATCCTATCCCGCCGTCAACTAATGGAAAAATAGGTTCTGCCGATAAAAAGCAGTTGGTGTTGTCGACTGGAGGAAAAAAATTCGGCAGTTTTGGCTACGGGCGTTCGTGAGTTATTTTCCTGACGGTTACAA